GCGTGACTCAGCGGCCGGAGTGGGCGACAGCAGCTCCGCGGACCCGAGCGGCCGGCGCGGCTTCCGCTTTCCGGGTTTCGCTGCGGAGGTGGCCCCGCCCCTGCCCGGGCGCCCCGCACGCCCCCGCCGCTCCCCCGCCTCCCCCCGCCGCCTCCCCCGCAGTGACTGTCCCGGGTTCGCTCCCGAGCAGATCGCTGTCGACAGTCGAATGGGTCCCCGCCCGTTTCTCGGTGGTTCGTCCTTTATGGTCGGTCTTCCCCGTGGGCGGTGGCCCCACGCCCCGCACGGGCCTGGCGCACCTGTTCGCGATCTTTGCTGATGAACCGCGTGGGTTTGCGCTGTGCTGGGCGCGGGGCCTGGCAGGCTGCAGCTGTGACTTCCCTGGGGTGCTCGGGAGTGAGGGGTGCAGAGGCGAGGCTTGCGGGGGACCGGGCGCTTCCCCAAATTGGGGGGGGCGGGGGCGGCCTGCAGGACCGTCTCCAGGGTAAGAATTCGAGGCTGGCCGAGGCAGGACACGGGCGCAGCTGCTGCTCCCTGACGTGAAGATTTAAGGATTAAGGCTTTCAGCCGCTCCCTCCTCCGTGAAGCTGTGGTTTGCTTTGTGCTTGGCTGGCGTCACTAGGGAAACAGGGACCCCGCCTCACCTCGGTGGCAGCGGTGTCCTGGCTCGCCCAGCCCGTGGCATCGGGCAGCTAACGCTCAGCACGTTGCTTAGACGAGCTGCCACTTCAGAAAGCCTGAGACGTGCGGTTCTGAATGCTTTACAGACATTTCCAATCACCCATGGAAGGTGGAGCTATCCCCATCTTATCCATGAGGAACAGGGGGTGAGAAGGGAGCGGTGCCGCCCACAGAGAGAAGGGGAATGACCTCACCAGGCTTCTTTTTACATCGCCCTGTTGGCAGGGGTTTCCTTTCTGCTTCTGCTTTTCTTGACAGCTTTTCCCTTCTAGGCTCTAGTAAACATTACAATTCTGTTGGGTCTCAAAGACAAATGGCCAAGTTAAAAAAGAAACACTGGATAAGTGACAAATGAGAAAGTCATTTTTCGTGTGTATCTAAGTATTTGAGACAAAAATTACGTTAGTAGCAAACATTTCTACTTCATTGCTTAGCACTGGATAAAGGCTTTTGGGGAGTTTGTCGAAGAACTGAATCAGGCAGATCACGTTGGAGGAGGAGTCCCTGGCAGGTGGATCACATTAGGGAGGAGTCGTCCCTGGCAGGTGGATCACATTTGGGAGGGTTAGTATGTAGCAAATCATCTTTCAGAAGTATCTACACTTCAGTGCTTCCTAAGGCTGCCACTGAGCCAACATGGCTTTGAACCCAGAACTGCCTCCAGAGCCCTGCTCCACCAATGAATCTTCCACAATTTGTCAACCTAGCAAGCCTGCTGTCTCACCTGTATTATGGAGATTGTTTTGTTACTTTCCTACGGAAAAGGCTGTGAGGACTAGAGTGAGATTTCCTCATATTGTCTGGCCGACCGCAGTTATTCAAAACACACGAGTTCCCTTTCTTTTCCTTTACTAATCAGAGCCAAAGGCTGTCAGTGCTTAGGATGGGTCCCTCAACTAAAAAGTTCACACAAATAAAAACAGAGGGAAAAAATCCACTGGGTTGTCACTTAATACATCAATGACATCTGTTTGCAAAACTCTACACACCACCTTAACACTGCATGCATGCACTTTCAAAAATAATGACAGCAGCAGCATGAAGATTTAAGATGGTCCTCATAAGTAGATATAAACTAGTTGAAGCAGCAGGAGACATAACTGCCTCAATGTCAAGCATGGTTTTTCTTCTTCCACAAAACTAGTTGTATCTCAATATGGATGGGCTTTTCCCCAGACACCTATGACCTTTCCTAAATTATTAGGAAGTAATAGAGGACACGGATGAAGGGGATTAAATACTTTAAAAACAGGTCCCTGGTAGCTAAGAATTCACACATGCTATTCATTTCATCATGAAACATCAGTAAAGGACAAATCAGACTTTGTTTATTAAAAAAATACTTTACAGGAAAAAAAACACCTCTATGCATTCCATTGTCCTATTTTACAAAGAAATAGCTTAACAAGTTAACACACTTAGACAGCTACAAAAAAGCACTGTGCTAAAAGATTATTCACACAAATTTAGGTTTAAGACTATTCATTAAAAACCTTTTTAAAACACTTGTTAATGTCAATAAACAAACTAAGGCCACACAACGCAAATAGTCCGCCAGGCAAATTATACATTTCATCTATATGCAAAGACCTTAGATAAATTAAAGCCACAGGAAAAAAAGTCTTAGCTGCCAATCAAAATGGAGTTTAGTCACAAAAAAACACCATTACATGAAAATTTACAACATGTGATAGAAGTAGTACATAAGTATTTCTTTAGCGAGAATTGAAAAGTGCTATATTAAGAGACAGTGGTCTCAACTACATGCACAAGTGGATCCTAAAAAATGTATGAAGAAAATGGAAGGCCATAATATTTATGGAGAGATACTTGCTTTTAAAGCAACAAACTTTAGCATGGGGATAGATCCCTCCTATGCTAAAGCAAAACACCTCTTGTACATTTCCTCTACTTACTGCATGACCAATAAATACAGCTACAACCTGTTGTTTTAAATAAAACTTAGCAGAAATACTAGTGAAAGGTTCTTTTTTAAAACCTGTAGCAATGACAAAACAGATTCATTAGAAAGACACCAAGTCAATTATCCTGAAGGCATAAACACCAATTTTTAATGGCAAATACAGATGAAAATATATTATGGGCTAATATTAATGATCAAGAATATATTCACTAAGGGTTTTCTTGAATTTTGGAGTCTTGTTCCTAAATTAGCTTTCATTCTAGACAATATTTATAGAGGGGAAGGCAATAAGCAAAAGTGTGAACTTTATGCCTCTTAAGACTGATGCAAGATGATGCAAGACATCTTTTCCTAACGTTTAAAGAATTTTATTAAATAAGCTCCTTTTTCCTACTACAAGAGCTTGTAATATTAATCATCTGATATTCCAACTGTCTCTAAGGGGGAAGGGCACCTTTCAAAAGTCTTTAAAAATAATGAAGTACCAATGAAACAAATTGTTAAGTGCTGAATAAGCAAATTAATAAACGCACAAGTAAGCCTAGGAATTCCTTCTTAAAGAGTTAAAATTCTGAAGGGGGAAACTCATGTAGGTTTTTATTATTATTGCTTTATGAATTTGGAATACCGCTTTGAATCCTAACCCTACTCCTAGCATATCTTGGTGTAATTATAGAATGACTTCTGGGGCAGGGGGAAGACTTTTATCCTTATTCATGAATACCATAAAATCGTTCTAGTTACGACATTAGAAATACTCACATATTGGGTCCTTTCCATAAGCACATTTAAAAATATGTGCTCCACAATAGCGGTCACCAACCGGTGGTCCGTGGACCACTGATGGTCTGTGAGGTCCGAAAGGTTGGCGACCGCTGCTCCATAAAATACTAAAACTTATAGCCACATTCTGCAAGTAATCTCAAAGAGTTGGCACAACGGATAAGATACCAAAAAGGAAGATCAGCTTAAATTTCAGTTACAACTTCACTGCCATCAATACTTTACAAATCAGAAGACGCCAGTTTGCTCCATGCCTCACTCCACCAAACCAAATAATTTAATGAGTTAGAAAAGTTGCAATCATTTGTATCACTAAACTAGGATACAGCTTGGAAAGCAGTAAGAAACTCAAAACTTGGGCTTTTATATTGCTCAGTCTTTAAAGCATGCTATTAAAATCTAATACTCACTCACATAGGACATTCAGTTTCCAGATACATTACTAGCTAAATGTTTCTCTCTCCATCCTATTGCAATTCTAACATACAATGAATTTATTAGTACATGATTTTAAACATTTTTATACTCTTTTAATGTGTTAATATTGGAGGTGAGGGTAGAATGTGTCAAAGGAAAGTGGGGATTTGCTTTTGATTGTAGGTCTTTGCAGATCCGCTGGTTCCTGAGTGATTAAACACAGTGCTGGCTGTCAGGAGACAGACTCCTTGTGTATTAGCAATGACCAGCTCAGATGACAGGTGGCATCTGCTGGATGGCAAGTGGGAGATGGGGAAATCGGATCTTGGAAGACAAGGAAGGAAAATAAAAATGAAAGTTTTTGCTTTAGCAACCTTGTTCTTCATGATTATTTTAAAAAACAAATGTTGCCTGAGAAGAATTTTACTTTGCACAGCCTCGTAAAGCTCTATGAAATTCTTCTGGACAGAAAAACAGAAACAAGAGAGAACCCAAACCCACATACTTTGTGATTAACCCCACCCCCCGATAACAAAAAACACCCTTAAAGGCAGGTCCCTTAAAAACTAGTCTTGATAAACTAGAATTTACCCTAGAATTTATACCCAAGATTTAAAAACACCCCTGCAATAATCACATTACTTTTCATACCATTCTAATTACCTTATTTACAGAGATAACGAAAACCAACATCACTTCCAATTCATAAATGGTTTACATTGAAATGTTTCTCTATTTGTCTTTATCCTTTTTAACAGAGAATACATACATATACATATATATAAGGAATAATACAGATTCTAACTAATCACTGCAGTATTTGCTGATGGTTACTTTTCTATCGGTTTACACAGTGACCTCTATACTTTGCTAATATGCATTTAACTACACAACAATATTGCACAAAGTAATATTTATATAAGATTTAACCTATTTCAGAATATTTTAGAGAAAATTCATATTTGATATTTCAAAAGATGCAGCTAAGTTTTCATGGTGACAGACATAATAAAGCAGCATCTTTTTTGCCTATGTTAATGTAAATATTCCAAATCTCACCCTCCAGGAAAAAAAAATCTCCAAATTGCACTATAACCAGGTAGATATAAGAATCTGGTCTGAGGTGTGGGGAGTACTCTTCCTTTAATAAACAAAAGGCCTATAATATTATTAACTAAGAGAAAGTAAAATGCGTATCACATTAACGTTCTAAAATAACAGAAAGACTACACTAACTGTATGAACTGTGCCTGTGTAAAAACAATTAAATACTCAGGCACTAAGCACGGGGCTACCTGAAACTCTAGGATGAAGTCGGTGCCATATTCTTTATTGGAAAGTGGCTACACAGAGTCAGAGCAAATAAGCTCTGGTATTCACTGTTAAAACTGAATGGAAGGATCTCAACAGTAGGTCTTTATCGTGAAGAGGTTGGTGCCAGGAGACAAAAAGATTTTCCTAAATGTCATGCACAGAATATGGCAGCCTCCTCAGAAAGATTGCTCTCATTCCCTCAGTTTGATACTCATGATCAGTTTAGGAAGCAAAAGTATCCACACAAAATGTGAGGATGCCAGGAAGCAGAACAGTAGAGTATCAAGTCAACGTTATCTCTTTTACCCAAAATATTTTCCATAGTTACCTTGTATATGAACCATGGATAATGAATGAGCAAGGACTATACATCTTTAGATATTTTTAATTGAAATATCCACTGGGCTTTAAATAACAGACACAAAGAGGACAGTTTGGATCAGAAAGTGCTTGCTTTCTCTTCTGTTAAACCAGAGAGCCACTGAATTTTCCTTAGAACTACCTGTTCTTTACGGTTGGAACTAAATAACTTACTTGCTTTTGAACAAGATACAGGAACTCTTTCCTGCAACCTATACCGTTTTACTGTAGAAACTGAATCTGTGCCATAAAGACAGAGAACTAAACCACAAATCTGATCTTCTACCATAAAAACAGCAACTATGGCAAGAGACAAGACAAAATTAAGGGAAGTGAATAATTTACCAAAAAAGAATCTGTTATTCCAGAGAGTTATTTTGATTTGAAGAAGAGATTGAATTATTACCTCACACCTGGAAACGGAAAGTAGCAGCAGACCCACTATTACGTACTGTACTAACGGGATAAGATACAACTCTTAACTTTGCATAATCTGTGTAAAAAAGATATGCTTGACATTTGTGGAATGTCATTTCTCTTTTTATAGAATTATAGGCAAGATTTCTCCAATAAAACTTAACTTAAGCCAGTTATAAAACTATAACTTCACATCAAAATTTAAAAAAGTTAAAAAATGTGTTTGGATATGTACATATCACACAGGAGTGCTTGAATGTTCCTGTAGCTTGTGTTGCTGCTCGGAGTCCAGTCTACTTCCCACCTTTAACACCGGGACAGGCTGTGTCATCTGGTCTGGCTGCAGATTCAGTTCTGATGAAGGTGGGACGGAAGATGAAGCGGTTGTGAAAAGCTGCATCTCTGCGCATGTTTCTTCAGGTTCCGTTTTTATCCTCACACACTGGGAGTCAACTTCTAATTCTCGCTTTCCAGTGAAATCGCGGTCCATGTTAGAACTGCTTTCTGTGTTCTGAGTGGCTTCCACAACAGGGTGGTACTGTTTGAGCCTGATATGCCAGGCTAGGCTGCACACTGCGGACACCGTTTTGAACTGATGAATGACATTTCTGGGGATGAAGTAGATATCATTGTCGCACAGCTGAATTCTAGCATAACGAATGCCTTCCCGCCTCATTTGGTTTAGTTTGGCTTCATCCACCCACTGCACACACTAAAGAGAAGGAAAGAGTTGCATGAGACTTTAAAGTAAAATGCATAATAATTTAGTCAAATAAAATATTATTCTTAGCCCTGGCTGGTTTGGCTCAATGGATGGAGTGTCGGCCTGCGGACTGGAGGGTTCCGGGTTCCATTCCGGCCACGGGCACATGCCTGGGTTGTGGGCTCCATCCCCAGTGGGGGGCGTGCGGGAGGCAGCCAATCAGTGATTCTCTCTCATCATTGATGTTTCTCTCTCTCTCTCCCTCTCCCTTCCTCTCTGAAATCAATGAAATATATTTAAAAAAATAAAATATTATTCTTAGCACAGGAAAACAGAGGGGCCAAATGAAAGCTAAGCAATACTAAATGATAACAGCTTTTACATTTCCTGTAATGTCTGACAAACCTTCTTCCTCATGTTTTACTACCTCTCTAGCAACAAAGGACTGGCTGAAGTCAGCATGGGCCTAGGGAACCATTTAAATTAGTATTTCAAAGTGCAGCTAAAAATCAATACTCTTTGCCACACGGGAGGGCAACATTTATCCGCTCCTCAGTCTTTCATCCTTTTGCAGGTGAGGCACCCAGTGCAATGGGGTTAGCAGCTGAGGCTGCAAAGGGCCAGAACTGGCATCCCAAGTTAAAGAGATTCTCAAACATTCTGTTTGGGAAGCTCTGTTTCAATGATTTTTGACACCCTCCACACACAGCCTTAAATAGTAATAAAATTCACTACCCCATGTATCTAACTGTAAGATAAAATGCAAAATAAAATGGGTAAAGATACTTCTCTCCAATATCCCACTCAAAGGGTAATAAAAACGCAGGAGTTATTACCTGAGAAACTGGAGGTTCGTGAAGGTCTAACTGAAGTCTCTGTACAACATCAGTGAAATCCTCAGCATGAAAACAAATCACATCTTTGGTTATGCGAGGTTGGTCACTCCTAAGATGGACACAATGAAGTTTTAGGAACAATCATCTCATAATGGAAATAAGGACACATTTCAGTGTTCTTGTTCCTGGAAATGCTGCTACTAGCACAGAAATAGGTATATAGCTCCCAAGGACAAAGTATACATTTGCTCCTTTAATCAACTTGAACAACAAAGGAAACACTAAAAAAGCTGTTTTAAAATAAGCAAATTAGATTAGTTGTTACAAAACTAAAACAACAGTGACTAGAAGCAGAGTTTTAGTCTAACCTGGTTGCATTTGTAATCCTTTCACCACTTTACCCACCATCTCAATACCACCCTGTGATAACATCATCAACCACACAAAGATCACACCTTCCAGTTTTCAAAGTATTGAAAGGGGAAAAAAACTAAATCATCTTTCATTTGAAATACTCAGATCAAACGCTATAATAATATTGAAGGCCCTGACATAAATATGAAAAACAAAGTAAAAAAAAGTTTTTAAATGAGCTGAATTCTATGTTCTGAGCTTTGTTAAAACTGTGCCCCCAAATAAATGCAAAAGGGTGCAACCATTATGAAACACAGGGTGGTGGTTTCTACAAAAATTAAAAATAGAATTACCACATGATGCAGCAATTCCACCTCTAGGTGTACGCAAAAGACTGAAAGCAGAGACATAGGATATTTGTTCAGAGCAGCCAAACGGTGGAAGCAACCCAAGTATATCCATTGATAGCTGAACGTTTGAACAAACTGTGGCATATACATATAATGGAATGTTATTCAGCCTTCAAAAGGAAGGAAACTGACACCTGGTTCAATATGGATGACCCTGGAGGATATTATGCTAAATAAAAGAAACTCACAAAAGACAGCTACTGTATGATCCCACTGATATGAGACATTTAAAGTAGCCAGATTCACAGAAACAGAAAGTAGAATGATGGTTAGCAGGAGCTGGGGGAGAGGAGAAGAGGGAGCTATTGCTGGTGGGTATAGAGTTTCAGTTCTGCAAGATGGAAAAGTTCTGGAGATCTCCTTCACAACAATGCCCATATACCTAACACTACTGAACTGTACACTTAAAAATGGTTCAGATTTTACTTTTAATTTTGTTATGTGTGTTTTACAATTTAAAAAAAAAAAATGGTCCCCAACCTTTTAAATTGAGTCTACGTTTTCTTAAACAACATTAACCAACTTTGCAGTTGAGTTCCATTAACTTACCATTCACCAAACTGTACAGCTTTCAAAACCCCAACAGCGGCAGTACTCTGCCAGTCAAACCCCTGACCCACATGATCAGCATGCGCTCTTGTCCTATCTTCAAAGAGGACTTCCCGGGGTTCACTGGTCCGAGGTAGGTACTGGAGATTTTTTATTTCATTCATTGATCTGGAGTTGATTTGGTTGTGAAGTAAAGGGAAGGACAAAAGTATTAATAGTAATTAGGCAAAAAAGTTGACTAAGACACCACATTTCAAATAAGAGGAGGGCTGAGAGGGTTCAATGACTTTTATCATTAGTATTTAAGAAACACACTCTATTGTAATGTTTAATGTGATTACCTTTCTCTCTTGGTATGTCATGATAATACAGAAACTATGTCTTGGGCTCAAATGTAGTGTTTGAATATATAAAATTTAGTTGTCTAGTAACAGAAAATAAAATTCAAAGTTCAAGGCTACATGTGGCTTTACTCTGAGTCATTTTTGACTCTCAAAATACCTGTAACTCTCACAACATTCTAGGTGAATATTTTCTAACATTGAATGAGAGTAGGCCTTGAAAGCTTGCCACTATGAGAGAAACCTCAGAGGAAAAGATATAGACTTGACAATATATAAACAAAAATTTCCTAAGGGGCGACCTGAAACATAAAGAAATCTGAAACTAAAAGAAAAACTCACAACATAAAAAAAAGTGAATAGTCATAATGTATAGGGAAAATTTACAAGTGAATATACCCCAATAGAAATACGGGTAAAGGAAATTAAAAGGGAATCACAAAAGAAGTACAAACCACTCAAAGAAAAGCAAATTAAAATGACACATATCTATCCAATCAGATCAACAAAGTTAAGAATGTGAGTAGAGGCTACGGGGAAAAATTTACATTCCCATCCATACAGTAAGGTGAGGATTCACAAAAGAACAACAAACAAACAAACAGAGGCCGCCTCACTCTGATGACTGTGAGATGAGTGGACCGGATGAAGGGACTGACCGCTAGAGACTTACTTAAGATAGCTCTTCGAATCATCTAGACAAATGATGTTCAAACTGTGTTCAAGTCTCAATCATTTTTATAAGCTGTCAACTAAAACAAGTGCTTTTGCTTATTTGAGAAAAGTGACTGTTTACCGTCGTCTTTTGAAGGGTGACTTTGGCATATCTGCTGTAGGGATCATCTGCTCTCCTGGCCTTACCCACATGATGGGCCCATCATCACTCTGGGACCGACACTGGAGTCGGAGGCTGGAAAGTGTACCCCAGGGCAAAGTCATCTAGAAGTCAGATGAATTAGTCACATAAAAATTTTTAGACTATTTACAAAATAGATAGTCTTTAGGTAGCCACCCCACCTAAAAGAAAACCCTGGGAAGCTTACTTTGTGTATGTATATGAAGAAATAAATGTATTAGATAGTAATTTCTATATACAAAAGAATACTGAAGTTAAATATTTTATAGCAACCGTTTTTTAAACATTTCTATTCAAAACATTGGGTAAAATTTCATTTTAACAGACAAGATTAGCTTAATCCTTTTAAATGAAAAGTATCCACTTACGTAATGATCCAAACTTTAATAATATGAATGAACACTCACTTTCAGAAATGGTGATTCTTCTAACATATCAAGGAACTCTGGGAAATAATCACCAACTTCTTCATCTACTGCTCCAACAAGACTTATCTGCCGCATAGGGCCTGCTCGGTAGGTGCCACAGCAGTACGTCCTGTTGACCTGAGATAAAACCAAAGAGGGGAAGAAGGGCCTGAAGGTACTCTATAATATATTTAAAGAATTAGAATAGGGCATTGTTTCCAATGTTGCTATTTCTTCTTCATACTAAGAACTCAAAGGTCAGCACCTTGGACAAAGTCAACCGTTACAGAAAAGCACCCACACACACTGACAAATACATTGATATAAGTTCCACACCCGAAATTGCACGGTGCAAGTTAGTCTATGGTCCCAACATCTCAAGGAAATATTGAAGACATTACGATAGACTTAAACTTCTCTGAGAATAATAATTTTGAACTCTGTAAACTTTATTTAGGAAAATTAGTAAATAAACAATAAAATTGGCAGGGCAACCATGGTCAGATTAATCCTCTGTATTCATTCTGTACTCTCTACCTTGAGAGCCTTCACACCAGGCCAAATAGCAGGCTGATTGTTAACCAACCCAATCTTCCATATAAGATCCTCCACCCTAGGCAGGCTCATCTTTTTCTCTATCCAACTTACGCCAATGATTTTTCTCTTGAATCTGTCGTACTTGGAATATCCTCTTTAAACGTCACCTATTTTGCCTTAATAGGAAGCATAAATGACCATCTAGTATTTCTTATACAATTCTTTACTATTAGTTCTTTAGCAGCATTTTCAGAACCAACCATTTTTTTTCATAGACAATTTAACATCACTGTCATGCATACACATACACACAGGAAAAAAAGGTCTTAGATCTTGTTCTCAAATAGCAAACATTTATTTTTTAATTCCTTATAAATCTTTCCCCCAAGATCACCCTAGGACTAGGTGATCTTTAAGCAGCAACAGCCCAGGCCAGAATTACCTTGCGTATATTTGCACGAGTTACCTTCCATTCGTTTGTATGATCATCATGCTATACAAAGCCAGGGGAGGCAGACTGGGAAAGAGAACGGTCATGGGATGTAGGAATAAAGGGAGGAAGGGGAAGTAAAACAGCTTTTCTAAGCATTGGTCTAACCTTTCTCAGCCAAGCACCCCAAAATGATTAAAGCAGAGTTAATTTTCAACATCAGTTCTAGAAATATCAGTCTCTCCCATTCCCAATTACCAGACGTTTCTCTACCTAAAAAGACTTTCAAACTATACATGATGATGGCATCTTATGAGAAAAAATTCTAAAGACTTATCACAATTTAAAGTTCACATAACTCAATACCAATCCTGAAGTACACTGCCTATAGTAATTTTCAATTTACTTGGTCTGCTAGCTTTGAGATTATGCAACTCAACACATTTTTAATCTGAATTAATATTTTTAGATCATAGTACTCCAAGTTTTCCTAATTTAAATACCATTTAATTCAACAGCACTGAACTTGAAGACAACTTAAAATGCAAATACCTAAGATAATTAATAGGTGACATAAAGTATCCTTTCCTATTTAAAAAGAGAAAGTGAACCTGAAATGGGGGAGTTGTTAAATTTATGTTTGCTGAGGCTAGAAATGAACTCATCAGCTATGAAACTCTGGTTTAAAAAAAAAGTAGTGGTAGTAGTAAAGCTGATTCGAGTGTCTATCACATGAGTAAAAATGTTTAAATGCTAATGTTTGATCTGCATTTAAATAATTAACAGCAAAGCTTAGAAGATGGACGGCATTTATTACCAGAAAGTCAATAGCTACCACCTATGTGGCACTGATGCCAAACAAGAATATTACGAATTATCCCCTATTATCTGATCTACTGTTCTTACCTACCATTCTGGATTTTAGTAACAGAACTTCCTGGGCATACAGCTCAACTAGGCTCCTTGGCAGCTAAGCGTGGCCTGTGACGAGGTTCTGGCTAATGAAATGCTAGCATAAGTTACATATGCAATTTCCAGAACACGTCTTAATAAGTAAGCAGCCTGCTCTCCACTTCCTCTTTCTCTCTTTGGAGGGCCAGGTTCAACCATGCATATGACAACACCAAAGGGAATGGCAGAAGGAAAGCATAACCCTGGATGGCCTCATGGAACACCTTTGGACTTCCTATTCAAGAAACTTTTGTTTTGTTCCGGCCACTAGCTGTGATTTATAGTGGTTAGCCTGCAACTTGTATCTCGTATACTCTGTACTGAGGGAGGCAAGAGTCTCTTGCACAGATAACATCTGGATTATTATCTCCTGCTCTGGACTAAGGAAAAAAGTCTCTAACTAGAGCACTCCCAAAACAGAACAATTAAGATAATCAGAATTTCCAAGACAAGAACCTGAGATTCTAATATGTATCTGAAATGAACAACCGCAGATTATTCTTAGGATCTGGCAAGTCTGAGAAGCTTTGGCCTGGAAATCGCACTCAAAAGCAAAGAACAAGTTGAGTTCTACCACCTCCCAAAGTGTGTATACTGCCGTGAAGGAAGAAACAAGTGTTAGGATGACTGGAAGAAGGCAAGTAGAGACCAAAGAACAGAAAAACACTAAAGCTGCCATGGGAACATGGAACATAATGCCAAGCAGGGGAAAGTTAGCCTTTAGTAAAATCTGAAGGCGAAGTGGGGAGGGGAAGATTGTGATATCGAGGAAGAAAATACCTCTAAGAAAATAGTAACTAGCTTTGCATGCATTCAAAAAATTTAATATAATAGCCATAAAAGTTTAAACAAGTATGTGTGAATACTATACATACTGCTGTCAATATATATGTAGTCCTTTAGATTAGACACTCAACTTTAAAAGTTATCCTGTACCAATTGCTGGGAGAGTTAAACATGCTTAATTGTGCTCTCAATACATACATCCCTGTTTGTTTGCTTTTTAACCCTCACCTGAAGATATGTTTCTCTTTACTGATTTGAGAGAGAGAAAGGGAGAGAGAGAAACATCGATCAGTTGCCTCCTGCATGGTCCCTACTGGGGATGGAACCACAACCCAGGCATCGAACCAGCGACCTCTCAGTGCATGGGACGATGCTCAACTAACTGAGCCACACCAGCCAGGGCTACATACACCTTTTAGTAAGTCATTTAAAAACTCAGAAGATATAAGCTTCATTCATAACTGCCAAAAACCTGGAAGCAACTAAGATGTCTTTAGTAAGTAAATGGATACACTGTGATACATCCATATATGGACTATGACTCAGTGCTAAAAAGCAATGAGCTATCACGCATGGCAAGACATGGAGGAACCTTAAAATGCATTTATTAAGTGAAAGAAGCCAATTTGAAAAGACTACATACTTCAGGGTGGAGCAAAAGTTTATAATTATTCATACGGAAAATAATATAATAACACATAAACTCTGTTTCAAATACTCACAACTGTAAGCCTATTTTTGCCCCATCCTTATATGACATTCTGGAAAAGGCAAAACTATGGAGGCAGTGAAAAGATCAGTGGTTGGCAGGGGTGGGGGTGGGGGAAAGGATGAATAGGCAGAGCACAGACGATTTTTAGGGCAGTGAGTCTACTCTGTATGTTACCTGATAGGTACATGTGAGTCAAAACCCACAGAATGTACACCAAGAGTGAATTCTAGTGTAAACGATGGACTTCAGGTGATTAGGATGTGTCAGCACAGGCATATCAATTGTAAGGCATGTACCACTCTGGTGGGGGATGTAGATAATGGGGAAAGGCTATGCATAGGTGGGGGCTGCGAGTATTTGGGAAAGAGGTCTGTACCTTCCCCTCAATTTTGCTATGAACCTAAAATTGCTCTAAAAAATAAATTATTCAAAACAAAACTTACAACTAACCTAGAAATACACTATGTGGAAAGCCCTGTTGTGGAGTTAGGGAGAATAATTATTCAACAGAACTCATGTTTCATGAAGAAACCTATTTAAGCTGATGGTTTAAAAAACAGGGAGGAAAAAGCTAGCCAGCAATCTTCCTAACCTTGTGGCCTGTGAATAAAAAGGCATTCCCGGTTTAAAACATATAGTAACACAGTAGTATGAGTCAAGAGTATAAGCTATACTTAGAATGACAGAAAAAAGAACCAAGCATACAATTTTTATGCTGTTTTATTTTATAAAACTTCTTAAAGTATGTTTTCCTTTTCTCTAACACACTGATGTGTAGCCCTTTAGAGTTTCTCCATTACCATCAAGCTCCAAAGCACTCTTCTATTCTTAATTAGTACCACCAATTCACTACAAAATGTTAACTATATTAATCAAACATGGCCCCTTAAGCCCACTGTGGGCCCTGCCACAACACACAATAAATGAAGAAATAACATTTGTTGATTTTTTCCGGAACAGTAAACATTACCATGTTATAGTAATAAAAGCAACATTTTATATAAGAACTTCTAAATAAAATTAAAGAGCTATGACCCTCAATAAAAGACTTCAATATTATGTAAGTTTTACAGAAATCTTTTTTTAAAGCAGAACTTAAAATACACATTTGCCAGTTAGAGAGAAAAATATCCCATTATGGTAGATACACTTTTTAAATGAATTCCCTCTCCCCCCACCATATACATATACACACTTTCTTCACCATACATATGCTTCAATTACTTAGTTGCTATAAGGTGAAAATAGTCTCAGATGGTGATATTTAAAACAACTCCCCATTAACTTCACTATATTTTTAGTGTTTTTGTTACTTGTTTGTAATTCATGTACAGAATTTAAGACCTACAGCCTTATTGTTTGTCGACCAGCAACATCAGCGTCATCTGGGAGTTTGTTAGAAATTCAGACTATAAAACAATTCCTCTTTGAAGAACTGCCACTCTTTACCCTTGGAAAAGGTCACAAACAAAATGCGATCTTCCTCACCTATGAAACAAAGGCTTGGAAATGACCCCACCCACCCTGAAATCCTGTTAGTCCATAAGGTGACTAGAAGGATATCTGAACTGCTAATCAGTTTATCGAGGCCACAGGATTTTTATAAGGAAGGGAGCCAAGTATTGCATACTTACTGCAGAACACTTCAAGGTTTAAAACTATTAAAAATGTTTTTCTAGTGCTGATAGTTGCACAATATAATTATCTAAGCCAGCGGTTCTC